AAAAAAACAACGGATGCAGTGCGTGTCGATGGTGCCTTTAAAATCATATCCGGGAAGATGTGAATGTTGGCGACCGCGGTTATGCGGATTTATTCATTTTTTTTGAGCGTGAGAGCAATTTGCATTACCGTACCCTAGGGTGCCGGCGAAATGCTGTAAGGTCACTTTTTAATTTCTTTGTTCGCTGCGCCATTCTCGTTTCGCTATTGTTTCGCTTTATTCGGCTTTCACCTGCTAACGGTTTGATTTAGCGGGATTTAATTGTCTATGAACATTACTTCCGATCCCATTTTTAAAGTATTTGTGTAAATTGGTTGACAAGTATTTTAAAAGGGATGTATTTGGCTTATTGTTTAATTTCTTAGTAAACATGTCGGTAGACAGTGCATTTACTCAGTTTTGCATACATTTTTATTAAATCATCCTTCCAACGTCATATGTATATTGTATAGCAAAATATTACCAGAAGAAAAATAAAACGTTATTTATTAAGAATGTGATAATTAACATGACTGATTAAGTGTGGTATGTTAAACTAAATACAATGCCCTCTTAATGCGATATATTCGGTACATAAATGCAAATATTTTGCGGCCATTGTTATATTATGTAGGACTGTAGTGGTAATAAAACTACATTTGTACAAAAGTTGCGAATTCCTTTCGTGATAAATGGGGGAAGAGTGCCAAGTGTCGGCTGTCACGAAATGTCTCGGCCCAGTTTTACTTAAATTTAATACTTGTCTAAACTAGAGTATAACTTAAGGTTGCTATAAAGACTGCTTAAATACCTAAAATTATAAAATACAATAAAAGATTTGAATACTATTGACGTAGTACTTCAGACTTTTACAAGAAACTCCGTAAAGAAATTAATCATTTCTAAGTCTGAGCTTGCAGTGTTATCATAAGAATTTATCTTAAAAATTACAATTATTTTACAAAACAATATAACATTTCGAAATAAAAGCTGTTGAATGTTAAAATAATTGTTAATATAAAACTGTCAATCACATGATTACGCAGTTAATGAAATGAAAATTGTAAGTTTGTACTTGTATTGCAGAACTCTCGGCGGCGACCCATCCGCGCCGTTCTGCACGTGAGCGGCGATGGACTGCGCGTCGTCGAGGAGGAGACAAAGGGCCTCATCGTTGATCAAACCATCGAGAAGGTCTCCTTCTGTGCGCCCGACAGGAACCACGAAAGGGGATTCAGGTTAGCTATGTTTTCTCTATCGCCCATTGTTTATCTCATGTCTCTACTCTAATGTCCGTTGTTTTAACGTGGGATGCGCTGCTGGTGAGAAAGTAACCAAGAAAACAAAAGTAATTATTCCTTATTGATATCCGATCTTTAAGCATATCTTTTTTTCACTTAATTTTGATTGAGTCTTTCGTCAGAAATAAATATAAACCAAAGCGTCTATAGCTGGACCTTATCGAATAATCTAACAAACACGTTTATTTGACAAAGGTTCGTTTTATGATTAAATTTCAACAGAACGTACAGTTGTATGGCGATTAATCGCTTGTGTACCAAAGCAAAATATTTGTGCAAATTTGTTTGTTATCGATTCCAAGTGGGTTGGGTACATGTCCCTGACAATCCAACCTTCCTACGACCTCATAGCTCACATATACTACGCGGGCAAATAAATGCTTTTATGTTTGAATGTACACAGCACTTAATATCCCACGCTCATTTGTATTGCTATATAGAAACACTTAACACATCGATTTAACCTTGAATTACTGTAACATGTAAAAATACTAAAACTATGTACTTTTTACACTAATTGTTGCTTGTGACTTCGTCCAGGTGAAGTTAAAAAATAGTAATATGTATAGCTAATGTTACTCTCACATAAATTACCTGTCTAATGGTGAAAGAATTATTAAAATCTGCCCAGTAGTTTTTGCGTGAATCAAATACATACAAAAATCCAAAAATACAATATTTTTCCTCTTTATAGTATTAGTATAGATTGTAAATTTTTATTACATCATCAGGGATCAAGGATTAATTAAAAATCAGCTATGTTCTCAATATAGATCTACTGTAATTTTATTTCATATTTATTTTTATTATTTGTCCATTACTTTTAATAAAGTAGACAACCTAAATAACGCAATATAAAATAATTCGGGTTTAAAGTTTCATCATATTGTGTCCGAGCCGCCACTGGCCACTGAAAGCTGAACTAATAACAGCGAACGCCTTTGTTTCGTTCACAGCACATAATTCTTCTTTCCAAGTAAAATAAACGTATCTCGTTGATTGCTCGTTGTTTCATCGTAATGAAGTAATTGTACGCCTCGGAACTGACGCAGCGCCCTCTACACTCTGTTGAAACTTTTGATTTATTGAACTGGTAATACAAACAAATGGGTTAGAATGTAAAATTAGATTAGTTACAACATCACTACTACTAACTGTTTGATTGTACTGAACAAGTTTTCCTAAATATAGGATTGAACCTATCGATAAAAAGTTTAGCAATGTAAATATGTTATTAACCTTTTTATATGTATTTAATTCACGTAAAAACTACTGGACCGAAATAATAAATCGCGATTAAAAAGCTACATAGGCTTTATTTTTCAATTTCACACGGACGAAGTCGTAACAACTAGTATAAAGGAATTGATTAGAAGATAAGAGAGAACGTAATAAGGCTTGCCTAATAAAAGAGTTAAATCATTGCTCAATTTATTGCAAAGAAAATAATCGTTATTCAAAGTTAAAAAGATGCAATAAATAGAGAAAATAGCATTTAAAATTTATGTTTTTAAGATAAAGAGGAGAAAGCTTTAAATCCCACACTCGCAAGTTCCTTTCACTGAAATAATGTTTTATAACCAAATGACTAATCTAAGTGAAAACATGTTAACATTGTAAGATTGTTGTGGTTAAAAGTTCTCGGTATCGTGTCAAAACAAAGATATGTAGCCAACACGTTATGTAATGAGACGGCGGCGGAGGTTGGTTCGCAGAAGCCTCTTATGTGAGAGTCCGCGTATAGATATATACTAATGTACTGTCTTATCTAATAAAATATTATTACCGCTAATATTATAAAGATAGAAAGAACACGCGGAGATATATCAGATTTAATTTAAGTTTATTTTAAAAAGTACATCGTTTTTATGTATTCCGTATAAAAAATTTAGCGGCCATTTTAGGATATCATTTCCTAATCCTATCCGTATAATTTACACGAAACATGATTCTCCCTAGCCTCCCCTACTTAGTAGCTTTAAGTTTACTTAATCCTGTCTAATCAAAAGATTAACTATTCATTATATACGCGACTACAACTTGTTGCACAAATTGCACATATTTTTGTCTCTTTTATATCTGACAAAATAGAACAAATATTGTGGCTGTAGGATTTTATCTTCTCTTTTTAGAGTGCCATCTCCTATTGGAGGTTATAAATTATTGTGGCATTGGAATTGCTATTGTAAATAGAATAGTATAAAATAGAGGATTAGCATTCTATATTAAGATTTGTTGTGTCCAGTTACATCTGCCGCGACGGCACGACGCGCCGCTGGATGTGCCACGGGTTCCTGGCGGCGCGCGACA